TTAAGCAGAGTCATGGCCACCAGGCCGAGCCAGGTGGCAAGGTGGTGAAAGAGTTGCAGCGCAGCTAAGCACCCACAAGCACCCACCCAAATCAGCTTGCGGTTTTAGCATGATGCAGATTTCTTCTAAACAAATGATAGAAGTAAACCCTCTAGTCTGAACAAAACCCATCAAGAAATCCCTAACATGTTATTACATTTAAAATGAAATACCTGGAGAACACTGAATTCCTGGGTTAGAAACCATCTTTGTTTAAAAAATATTAAAAACAACAACAACAGAAGAACACCATATGCTTTCAAAATGACAGTGGAAACATTTGTTTATCTCAGCCAGAGCCATTTCATCAAGCTGGTCAGATCTGTGAGCGGAATCCACCCTGAAACAGAAGGGCTGCCTGGGCTGAGCCTACATCTGGCAGCTAGCTCACATCCCCTGGGCAGCCTGGGCAGCATCCTTGGGCCGGAAATGCTGCCCCAAGACAGCTGGAGGGCTCTCTTCCAGCTCCTCCCAGCTCCTGCTGGGTGTTCACCTCACACCTGACCTACAGAGGGGTAAGGAGTGGCCAGGGTCCCAGCCCAGGGATGGCGGGGACACCTCACCCCAGGTCAGCCTCCAGCACTCCAGCTTCCCTAGTCTCCTAAAATGCAGCCTGCAGTGTCGTCATCTCTGGGCCAAGGCCTAGGAGTCAGGCACCTCCTCAGTTCTAACCAGATTTGACGTGAGTTCAACAGTGAGTCACCAGCTCTTTTCTCACATCTCCGTTTCCTCTAGGAAAAATGATCTGGCATTCTTTCATATCTTTATATGGAAGATGCTGTGACTGGGTTACATCAGCATCTTTCCCCCAGAGGAGTCGGAATTTAAAGACTGCAGCTCCGCGCACGGACTGCAGGCGTCGCTGTAGAGACACCGAGGCTCCAGGTTCCCCGGGCTGCTTAGGAGTCTGCTGCCCCCCAGGGTCGGAGCCGCCGGGACTCTGGGAGGGGTGGGGGTGCGGAGGACTGACTGCCTGTTAGAAACGTTTTTCTTTGAGGTTTTTCTCTTGTCCGACAAGAAGAAATCCTGAAGGAGGACAATGGGGCCGAAGTGCCCCATTCTTTCCCCCTCCCTTTCCCTGTTTCTGTCTCCCACCCACATACACACACACACACACACACACACACACACACACACACACACACAACTACAATAAAGCAAAAATACTACTCTATTCTGCTAATATTTTCCTTTATGGGGCAGTTGGCCAATAGACCAGCAATTTGTATATAGAACAACATAACGTTCTCATGAATAGCATAACAAGTCAGATTCCCCAAATCCATGGTGTCACTAATATTCCTTCTACTCTCCACAACTTCACTTGGAAAATTACAGGGGGAATAGAAAAAGAAATCGCTTAGTATTAAATGTCTAGCATACATGTGATACAATTACAAAGGAAATCTCATTGCGATTTTTCAGACTGTATATTTTATCTAATTCTACATGACAGAATAAACCAACATGATTATTCACTCTCTTCGGTCGCCTAGGTTGGAGATTCCACTCTTCATTAACATAACCTGCTTATTTTACTTGAAAGGAAAATCCATGACAATTCTTCACTTCCCTTTTCTGTATTCTGACTGACACTACTAATGGAGGACATATCACACCTAATGAATGGGAAGCCTCCACGTCTCCAAATTAGGTGCTTTAAGGTCACAATAATAAAGTATAGACCATACAAAATGGTCTAACCCACATTCCATTTAATTAAAACAACTATCTGATTATCCTCCTATTCCGTTTAATATCCTTTGGTCATAAAGATACTTTATTTTTGGTATTACTCTCAAAATGGTACTACTAACAGAATTCAGAAGCCCAAGATAAATATCAGAGTACTAGGGCTTCTCATCATGGGCATTGCTGGCATTTTGGGCTGGATAATTCTTTGATATATGGGGAAGGCAGCAGTGCTGTGCATTATGAGGTGACTAGAACATCTCTGGCTTCTACCAATCGAGGGCAGTGGTACCATTCCAGCCTCAATCACAACAACCAAAAATGTCACTAGACAGTGTCAACTGTCCAAATGGAGGAAGCTAGGGGAGGAGGGGTGGCACAACTAGAACCACAACGTGTTCCCAATTTATTAGCAATGAAAAGGGGACAGGAAAGAAAGGAAATAAAACTTTTTGTCTCTTCTTTTGTTGATTGTCCAAGCCTCCACTGATTTTAGTGTTGTTTGGATTCTTCTTACATTTAATGGAGTCTTCCTTCTAAATTTCTAAGACCTTGTGTTGTCTTTTGAGTAGATGTGCCTTGAACTTCAAATGGACTGTCAAACTATTCAAAGCCCACTAATTCCCACTGGGCAAACTATCAGTAAACCTTAACATAACTCCACTTTGAGCCTTAAACTAACTGCATGTGAAAAGATCAATATGAATAAGTTCAAAACTAATCAGACCTCCTCTTTAAATGTTGACACAGTATTATTTATATCCCATAAATACATTCTTGACTAAAATTCATACTAGGAGCTTGGCACCTGGCCAGTATTATTCATATTTACTGTATTTATATAGTACACTTGGCCAAGGATAATATTTAAGACAAAATATGCCTAAGGGCATATACAATATCTCCTATATTTTTACTTTTAAAGCTCCACATTGCTAAAAGTATTTAGTCTGAACTTTATAAAAGGTCCCACAAAGGAATATCAGCAATCTGTGATGATATATAGCTCACTGAGTATAATTAGAGCATATTTGTAATACTTGAGCTGAAGTCACTCCCTGAACACTAATAAGTTAGTGGTAAAAAAAAAAAAAAGAAAGAAATGAGCCAGTGATCTTTCCCAGGCCTTCGTCCCTAGGGCTTAGGACCCTCACTGGGTTCACTGCATGAAATGGCAGGCACAAGTCCTGCCCACAGCCACCTACTTCACTGACCACTGAGTTAAAAGCTAGGCAGGAAAGCCCTGAGGAGGTAAAGCTGATGTATAAGCCAATGCTGTACTTGGAATTTGCTTTTTCAAAATATGGTAGAGTGATTTTTTTTTTTTCTTTTTGGAAGAGTTCACTATATTCTGTATGACTAGAGAGTGCTGGAAACTTCAGTTAACGTTCTTTGTATATGATTATCCCTGGTTCTTGTATATAGAACGTAGGCTGAAAGTATATATATTTTTTCTGGTTTAGTTAGGATGCAGGGGATAGAATAGAAAGGAGAAACCACACACTGATCTCAGATGCCACACTGCAATCCTCCCCATGATCTGGGCAGATTTGCAATTTGTTAAGGAACATAATCCTGGATGGGGCCATTTCAGCCAGCCCACCTTCCACTCTCACACTAACATGCTGAGGAGAGCAGAGAATCAGAGCTCCCATGGGCAACCTGCCCTCTCCACGAGCATGCACTGACCAGACCAGATCGGGCTTCCTCTGTGTTGTAGAAGTCCTGGCAGCTTATTTGAGCTTATTCGTCGCATGTAAACATGAAAGGTTCTGCATAACAGGCTTGCTAGGCCACCTGGATACCAGGAGAATCAACGCAGCACATGCTAGAGAAAGCAACTGACTCAGCTCCCTGCTGCCTCCGTGGTGGTTTTGGAGCAATTACAGTGAGTGCACTTTCTTTCCTAAAATCTCCTCGGCTCCACCCCAGATAGAAAACTTTATGGGGCAGGGAGGGTAACCAGGGAGGGGTATATTTATTCCCACTGTTGTGGATAGCTCCGTAATTACAAAAATACAATCATCCTGCTTGCCAGGATTCCCTGCATCTGCTCTGCCACTGCACAAGCCATAGAGACCCTGCAGCACGGGAGAGGTGGCCAGAAAGATCAGGGATAGACAGACAGGCAGACATCACGACCAGCGCATGGCAAGTCACCCAGCCACGGCTTGTCAAACTAAAAATAAATATTTAAAAAGAAGAGCACTACCCTGCCACGGGGACTTCCACGATAAAGTTGCCAAGATGGCCGTGCTATCTATTTAGGCGAGACCCAAGGGCTCCTCCAGCCAGCCTGCCAGTATATAGGGCACGGAAAGGGGCGGAGAGAAGCAGGCAGCCAATGGAAAGTTTATGGCTTGGGATTTGGAGCGCACAACTGTGGAAGCATTTTTACTTTTTCTTTCTGCTGACTCTTCCTGGTATTTAACCCCCTCAGGTGCAAAACAACTCTGAAATAATTCCTCACCATCTCCCTACCTCCAAAAGAACCCCAGAATAAATCGTTCTACGCCCATGGCTACTGTAGCCAACTGGTTTTGAGGACCCGGCTCTCAGCGAAGCCAGTGAAACAACAGCAACAACAATAATAACAATAATTATAACCACGACAACTCAGCTGTGTTTGCCGTCTTAGACTTGGGGATGCACCTAAGTAACGACAGAAAGCCTATGAGAGGGCAGAAACAGGGATCTCAAGGCTGGGGAAAGATCAACCACAAAACGCTAGGAAACCTTTCTGTTGCGCCGTGATTTTAAGAAGGCGGGTTTGGGTGGATCTCTGAAAACTGCGTGAAGCAAAACCTCCTTCAGCCCTGTCCGAAACGAGGCTGTCTTCTGTCCCTGCTCCAGGTGAAGCCGGAGGGGGACTCGGCTAAAAGATTTTTGCCTGGGGAGGGGGGCAGATAAACAGTTGGCGCCGGTGACAGACCCTTGGGGGAGGGACGAGTTTTCCCAGGGGTCCCCAAAGCAGGTTCGGTCTTGGCGATTCTGACATTTCTAGGGGAGTGAGAGACAACGGCTGAGGCCGGGGCCCAGCTGACCGGCGCCCGTGCTCGGGCGCCTTCCTTCCGGAGGGCTAGCTCGGAGCCAGCAGCTCGGCTCGGAGGCGAAGCCGGCCGAGGTCCCCTGGCCCCGCTTCCCTGCGCCCAGGGAGCGCCCCTCTGGCCCAGGAGCAGGGATCTCCGCCGGTGGCCTATAGGGGACGCCGGGCCGGCGCCGAGGGGAAGGGAGAGGGCCCGGGGAGGGCGAGGGGAGGCGGCACTCACTTTCGGAGAAGAAGCGCATGTCGATCTTGTAGACCTCCTTGGCGTAGTACTCCTCGTCGCTGCGCTCGCGCTCGCAGGCGGCGGCCCGGCGGCTCGCCTTCTCCTGCAGCAGGTCCCGCGTGCTGTTGTAGATGGAGATGACCTCCGGGGGCACCTCGTCGGGCTCGGGGAAGTCGTCCGGGGGGCTGGTGAGCTTCAGCTTGCTGAGGATCTGCCCGCGGATCGCCTCGATCCTCTTGCGCATGAACTGGTCCATGTCGAGCGAGCTGCAGGTAGACAGGGCGAGCGCCGCAGGCACCAGATGCAGGGTCAGCAGCGCGCTCAGCACGCGGGAGTGCATTTTTTTTAAGTGGAGAAAAAAGGTTTTTTTGTAAAGTAAGAGAAAAAACAAAAACAGAAACCAGTAATTCTCAAAAGTACAGATCGGGTAGAGTTGTTGGTTTTGGGGGTTTTTTAATAGGAAACTTTGGCGAGCAATCGAGAGTCAATGCCCAATAGAAAAACGTATCTTGCTTGATTTCCGTTAAAAAAAACGCAGGTCGTTCCGAAAGTGGAAATATTAATGTGCGACGGGCGGGGGGACCCTGACTTTGGGGAGTAAAGAAAGTTTTCCTGGAGCTGGAGCGAGGAGGCGGGGACCTGGGAGGAGGCGGCGGAGCTCAGGCGCGGTCCCGGCGCGGGTGGATCTGAACTCGGCTCCGCGGCCGGCGGGGATGAAAGGCCAGGCTGCGCCGGGCCGGGCTCGCGTGTTCGCCGAGGAGCGCCCGGAGGCGGGCGAGCGAGCGGCAGCGCACACGTGTGCGCGTGTGCGCGGGTGGTGCGCGCCGCGGGGGGCACACGCGCTCGGTCCGTCCGGGGCGCTGCGCACCGCGGGCCTGGGCCTGGTCCTGGTCCTGGTCCTGGTCCTGGTCCTGGTCCTGGTCCTGGTCCTGGTCCCGGGCCCGGCCTCCCCTGCCGCTCCCGCCCCGGCGGCCCGCCTGCCGCCTCGCCTGCCGGCCGCCTGGTGGCACCGCGCACCGCCGGCGCCCGCGTCCTCCTGCGCCGGGCAGCGGGCGGCGCTGGCTCCGAGCGGCTCCGACCCCGCTACCCCGAGGCCCGCATCCCGGCCCCGCGCTCCGCTCCGCTGCGCTGCCCTCTCTCGCCGGGAGCTCCTGGAGCTCCGCTCAGAGCGAGCCTTCTGCTGCCAGCAGATAACATCACGATCTCGCCGGGAGGAGAGATTTATAAGCTCTCTGCGAACCACGTGTTTGCCTTCAACAAAGTGACGTGCTAGGGCTGCAGGCAGTGGCTCCTCCGCCGCCGCCCAGGGAGCAGCGCCGCGGGCTTCGCGGTCCGCGCTCCGAGGCGTCCGTCCAGCACCAGGATCCCGGTTGCGCTTGGTGTGGGCCGATCAAAGTCTGGGCTCCGGAAAGGAAGCCTTCCCTGCGCGTGCACGCGCGCGCGCGCGCGCGCGCACACACACACACACACACACACACACGCACACACACACACACGCACACCTGCTCGCGCGCCGAGCAGCAGCACCGGTCCGCTCAGGCCCAGGCCAGCCCAGGACGCGCCCCAGCTGGGACCCGGACCTACCTTCCGTCATTTGCTAGGGTTCCCAGCCAGTTACTGTCCTGGCCCCTGTTTATCACACTGTTGTTTCCAGTGCAGCCCTGTGTGTGAACTGGTGGGAGACAAAACACTCCTTCAGCGCGTTTGACTGTGTAGGGATGAATGGTCACCTCCCTAGGCCTTCTCCCTAGAGGAGACGCCGCGCTCCAACCTCTCGCTTTCCAAAGCGCACGTCCTGGAAACCGAGGTTTTAAGCATTCCGAGTCTACTGTTACACACTCCTCGTAACTTGACATTCTCTGTTTCGACCTAGTCCACATTTGATGTACATAACAATCATTCTCGCCACTGTTCACTGTTCCCATTTTGATTTCATTTTACCTCTAGCTACTCAAAGTCAGCATTGTAATTTTAGCGTGTCTCTGTGGCCATACTGACTAGACAGATGATTTACACTGGAAACTCTGCTGAGTTTCCCCCTAGACCCCAGGCCTTTATCTGGTCCCCGGTTCCTCCACACCCCGGTTCAAGTTTGGGATTCGTACTTGAGGCACCGTGGACCTCTACTGTTAGTAGCAATGACGGTAATGTACTCTGCACAGCGCTGAGGTGTTTTATTACTGTTCTCTGCAGATGAGGAAACTGGGACACAATGAGGCTCAGTGTGGTGAAACCACAGTCCGTGGGAGAGCTGGGGTTTGCAGTCAGGATCTACTCCGTTCTCAACAACTCTGTATCTCTAAGAAACACCGGTCCCAGAATATGTTGTGACGAGCATGACATTTTGTCAGATGGGATTGGGAGATACAGCAGACTTACCCTGTTGCCTCTATGGAATCATGATTCTGTTTATTGGGTTAAGGGCTCTGAGAATTCTACAGAATTTGTTTAAACCTTTTAATCTCCCATTTCCCGAACCTCCTTGAACATAGAACTTTTTTCCCAATTAAATTACATTGGAAAACTCTGGAAAATGCTCCATCCAGCTTCTGCATAACTTTGAAGATGATGTCTGCGTCAGCAGCAGCAGGTTCCTCTCCTCAAGGTCGGCTTCAAACCGGAGCACTTCACTCGGAGCCAGACCAGCAGCCACCATCCCCAATACCAGCACAACCCAGCATCAAGAGGTGCTGTTTTGTGGCACCCCTTTGAGAACTGCAGTGATCTATGGCAAGGACACAAAGGGAAGCGTCTTGTTCCTGGGGCAATTGTAGAACACAGGGCGATGCCACCTGGAGCCACCAGCCTCTGTGCAGAGGGTGTGCTGAGCTCTCCTGCGGTGTCAGGAGACACACGTGTGGGTGTGGCAGGGACACAGATGCACCCTGGGTCACGAGTGCAGATCGAGCAGCACAAGTCCAGCTACGTTACTTCAGCAAAACCAGCCTCAGACCCTGTGCCAAGCCATTCCCACATTAGCAGCCACACCTGTGCTCCTAATAGGTGATCTGCTGGATACTCAGTGCTTGTTAACCCCCTTAGACCAGAGACCTCTGCCCTACTCCCAAGAGGCCACTTTAATTTCCTCAAAGCCCAGGAGGGCAGGACAGGGGCGGGGCTTAGGGCAACCGGTAGTGTTCTGGGTACTGCGGGTGTCCCCACCCTTGAGGGGTTCTTTCAGGGCAAACGCAGCCTCCCTCCCTCCCAAGTGAACCCTTTCTTCTAGTAAATAACACTTGTAAGGACTTCTCATCTCTGCTACAGAAGTGAGACAGTCACTAAACGTGCCGGGGACTCCATCCGAACTTGGTGGTGAAGGTAAACTACATTCAGCACCCTGGCTACCTGGAGGAGGCAGGAGGGCTGTGGTCCAATGGGAGGCTCTGAGGGCGAGATGTCTTCTGCTCAAATTCCTGCCACTTTCTGGCTTTGTAAATTATGACCCAGTTTCTTGGACACACTCAGTCTCATGTATGCAAAGGAGATGCTGAGACAGCACAAGAGTACTGCAAGGATTAAATTACACAAAGTATAGAAAATGCCTATACCAAAACCCGGCTTATTGCCTGTTACCTACCATTCTTATCCCAGCCCTTCACTTCTGTCTGAGAATTTACAATAAAACACACCTGGCCCCCACTTTTTCTTTACCAAATATGAACAGAATGAAAATGCCAGGGGAGAAGCCAGTGAGAATTTGCTTCATGGCCATGCCTCCTAGCAGTTTCTGTGCTCGTGTTCATTATTTTAAACGTTTGCTATTTTCCCCCAATTAAGCAGTATAGGAGGGACAAGAAAACACATTTTGGTAAGCAGAAGGCTAAATGACTATCAAAGTTCAGTTAAAACATGTGACATTCAGGTCTCATATTATTTAAAACCCTAAAATGGAATCGTTTCCAGATCAGAGAGGGAGAAGTGCGGCTGTTCCACCCCACAGCCCTTCTCCCCTCCTTCACGGGTCTGCTCGCTTTGGCTTCAATAATGGGGAATTCCCTCGCGAAGCTGGAAAAACAAAAACAGCCCTGTCCTGGAGTTTGACTCCGGTGGGTCACAGCAAGAGCATATGATCTGCCAGCTTCTTCCTCTCACCAAAGAATAACTCACTTGAAACCATTCCGAAAGCTTTCCTTAATGGTTTCCAGCATTAAAACCAAGAGGTGGGAAGAGAAATACATGAGGCCAATGTAATGGATCACACTTTTCATCAAATAGTCACATTTGATAAATGCAAAGTAATGCTTTAATAGGAAAAGCACACCAAAAGCCTTTTGCATTCTTGTCATTTTATGATTCCACAATCCAAAAAGAAAGTTTGGTCTTTATCATTTTTTTCTCGTGTCTTGTGAACATTTCCATAAACAAGTTTATCCACAGAATAATAACTTATAGAACCTAGAATATTTCTCTTAGTGAGCTGCAAAGGTTAGTGACTTCATTGTGAAAAGTGATCTAGTAAGTATTCCCACTTTGGATCTGTAGGTTACCTACGTAAGAAACGACAAGGGAACAGGGGTGAATGAGCAACGGGCAGGGGAAACAGAAGAGAAGAACTGAAAGGTCAAGGTGGCAGATGGTAAAGGGAGGAGTTCAGGAGACAGGACGAGGACAATCAGTCGGAGGCTGTGCACAGGTTACGGGACTTTGGGGATGAGCTCCTCACACCTCAGTTACCCCAGGAAATACTCTCGGGGAAGTGATCAGCTGGTTGATGAGTGCTGGCCGATTTCCAGGCACTCCCTCTCCCCATTTTCAGCTCTGCGAGTTCCATCCAGAAGAAAGCCTGCCTATGGGAGCCAGACTCTGTGGCCTGGGCTGCCATCTCCAGCATCTACTCAGACACCCCCGAAACGCACCCACTGGAAGCAGCACTTGGCGACTGGTGAAAACAAACCAACCTAAGGGGCTGGCCGTCATGGGGCCTGACGGTATGGATGCAGGCTGGACAGATGCTCACTCCTGATCAAAGGCAGCCGGCAGCAGGCTTTCCCTGCTCAGGGCAGAGCCGGACACCTGCAACAGCCTCTGGTCCCGCTGGCCGCCTAGCTCCTGCACACCCCACTGAGGGCAATGCTGATGAGGCGGTGGTGGTCAGTGGCCAGCCGGGAAAGAGAAGGCACATGTCAGGAATAAGCTACGACTGTGTCCTCTGACTTCATGATGACTTGGCACAAAAGCACCAGGTGATTCTGCATGATGTATGATCGTGATCCTCAGACCAATGTGTGTCCTTGTCTCAGCGGGCTTCAGACTGGGCCCAACTCCAAATGCTTGGATGCCACTAGTCAAGTTCCCAACCAACTCACAATCCAAAGGACTTTGCCTTCTGTTGTCTCAGCGAGCCCGCAATTTAAAAATCCAAACAAGGGACAATGTTATTACACAGAAAAGAAAACCTTAACTTTTATGATAGGGTAAACTAGTATTGCTACAAACAGAAGTGTATGTTAATATGATTTTTCTCTCTTGGAGACAGGGTCTGTCTTTCTATATAGCTCAGGCTGACACTGAACTATGTAGCCCAGACTGGCCTCCGACTTCCAGCAGTCCGCCTCCCTCAGCTTCCCAAGTGCTGGGATTACAGGCGTGCACCCCCATGCCCTGCTAATACGCATTTTTACACCTATCATTTTGACTTGTAAAACTCTTGCCCACAAACTGATGATTGTTTCCAAAAGTTCAAAAACTTAAGGAAAGTTCTTATAATTAGTGTGACCACGTGGTATACCACATAAATCCAAGCACTTTTGTGAATGATGAGGACATCATTCATAAATACATTAAAACAGGGATAAAATAAAATCCCCTGATAGCCACTCAACATGAATTCACTTTAATATCTCAATCTGTAAGAAAGTATCAGATTTTCACCTTTTACTGGTTACAATGGTGATCCTGTAATTTGTAAATTTCCAAGCCTTTTTCCTTTACCTATGCAGCAGATTCTAAAAATTACATCACAGCTACCCTCCGAAAATGCTTACCTGTACAATTTTGCCACGGATATAAACCTACACCACTACAAACACGGGGTCTCTAAGAGGTGTGTGATTAAGATTCTTCTGAGCCCCACAAAGCCAATTCCCATGCATAAAAAAAGAGGATAAATATAAAAAGAGATTAACATTTTGTGAATCCAGAGAACAGCTGAAGAAAGTTTTTTAATTTTGGAAGATGAACAAAGAATCTCAAAGATAAAAATATTTGTCTCCTTTGATGGGTCACACAATACGAACTTTTTACATGTTGAGCTTACCTGTAACTAATGGTAACAGGCCTCACAAAACAGGGGACACCTTGACAGTTAACTCAGTAGCATTAAGGAACATGGTATTTCTTCTTCACCTGATAATCTTTTTGCAATGAAGATTTCTACAGTTCGTGGTTTTGCTTTAATTATCTTAATCATCTCTATTTCTGTCCGAGTACGTAACATCTCTACAGTTACTAGTAAATGGCAAGCTATTTACTATGAACTAAAGGAATAAATCTAAAAGTGAATGTGCCACTGTGACTTGAGATTTCAGCAATACATAAAAATGATTTTGATTGTTGGAATATTAGAACAAGTTGTGAGTATCTCTTTCTTTAACAGGTCTCCTGATATTTTTAGTTAATTAAGGTCATTGAAGACAAGACTGTTACAAGGTCAATTTGGTTAAGAAACCAGTTGTAACAAATTTAATTCTCAGTTACAGTGACTGTTAGAAACTAGCCACTCATTCTCATCTGTGATGGAAACACACACATGCCACCTAGAGGAGGCTTATGGCTTCAGTCTCGAGAACCAACAGGCTCCACTCACTGATATATATTTCCATCTTATCAAATAATCACTTAGGATCACCTGACTGTCCTAAAATCTTTTTGAAAAAACTGTTAAATACTTAACACTTACACATCGAGTATTTCCATTGATCTGCTGTTTGTACATATAAAATATAAATTACAATTTCACATAAATACTGTAAAGTGCATTTTAAGAGAATATCCGAGATCAATAGCAACAGAACATCCTAGTTGTAGTTACCTGTTAGCTCCTAGATGACAATGCTGTAGCTACAGTCTAGTCATTTATAAAGCATAATTTGAAAATCTAAATGCCACTTAACACTTTTATGAGGCACCTGATATAACTAATAAACTGATTACTTGGGCAATATATTATAACATAGTAGTAAAAAGAGTAGCAGCGATATACAATATCCCATAGACAAAACTACTGGCCATCACTCCAGCAGGACTAGTGGTTACATTTCTGTAGCATCTGGATAATTAATGTGTAAAGATTTAACGCTCAGACAAGACCTCTCATGAATTCTCCAACTGCATATTGCATCATAGTCTGACAGCAACAATCAAAATGAGCCCCAGGGTGACATGCTAACTCTAAACTGTCAGTGCCTGAAAAATGTCGCCTTTTGTTATATGTTATCTACTTCTACTTTCCACTGGGCATAGGGTTGTTTCATACTTAAATGAGACCAAAACTGTGAATGAGCTTATTTTTCTGGAGAACTCATTTTCTAGAATCCCATGTAAAATGTGGGGAGTCACTGTTGTGACAGCAGGTCTGACTCTAGTCTAGATTTGACTGCACTCTCTGTGACCTTGAACAAGTTATTTACCACATTGTCTGTTTTCTCCTCTGTATAATCATGGCAGTATCGACTGCTCATCCAGTTATGAGGAAGACTGCATGACTTCAGACACTACAAAACCCTCAGTCATCTGTTATACAACAAATGCTATATAGATGTCTGCTGTTATTAGGACTTGTTCTTTTACTTGAATGACTGATGGATCATGCAAAATATTATGGTTGGAAACAAAATGACATTTGAAAAATACAGCAGTCCTCCCTTATCTGTAGGGGACATGTTTCAAGACACCCTGTGGATGCCTGATACTGTGGATTGTGCCAAACCCTACGTAGACTTTGGCTTTTCATGCAGAGCTGAGAATGTGCTGATCGATGACCCAGTGGATGCCCATGGGGAGGTGGCCCACACAGGGCAGACAGCAGCAAAGGCACGACCCGTGTCCTAAGCAGGACAGGGCGTGCGTGCAGAATGACTTGCAAGTGAAATGGATGACTGTTTCTAAAACTTTCCGTTTCACATTTTCGTGCCATGGCTGACATAGGTAACTGAAATTGCAGGTGAGACCACAGCTCACAATAGACTACATTAAATCAAGAAAACAGAGGTTCCTGTTTTAAAATAATTTTTTATTAATTAAGAGGCACAGAGAAACAGGGGGTCACAAGGTGAGTCACTTTTTTACATTCAATGTTCACTCAATGCTCACTGCAGGGTAGTTAGTAAAATTTAAACAGGATAGGATTTTAGCAATCAAGTCTTTCAATACAGTCATCTAAGGCATCTCTCTCCGAAATCCTAATAGTGCTCTATTAAACATTTATTGCTAGGGTTCCAGAACAGAGAGAGGCAGAAAAACATGTCTAGATTATTTTATTCATCACGAAATCTGTCTTTTCAAACTATTAGTCTTTAAAAGCATGACATCACATTCTTAAATAATCAAACCCATTCTGGGATATAAACTTTGAACCTGTGGTCATGTTTATACTTTCAGGTAACACCACTGACACGTGCGTTGCCACCAGTCTTCATGGTGATCATTTTAAAAGGAAGGAGTAGACACTGCACAGTTCTCAGGTTCTTGTAAATGTCTGCATATCGGTGAATACGTAGGGTGTTTAAAACTTGGGACTATTAAAAACAGTGCCATGATACTGTGACACAGCATCTTCTGTAACTGGGACCTTTTCCCGAAGAGGGTGTAATTACTGGGTCTCTGTAAGTATCTGCTATTCGTGGACTTTAACCTCTTGTGGAGCATACACTTTATCTAGAAAAGACGTATTTGCAGTTCCACAGACAAGAAAGGAACGGCACATCTGCGGGCCTGGCCCCTCGTCCCAGAATGGGTATGCACATCTGGAGACCCCTCCACCCCTCAGCCATACCTCAAGCCTTCCGGAAGAAACCATGCTGTCACACCTACGTCACATGCTGGCTTCAAAAACGTCTCGAGATTTGTGGCAGGACTCATAGCTAATAAAACTGACCTCTGAACTCAGTTGATTCCAGAATTACGCTGTATTTCACATAACAATGAATGCTGATATTTCTTAAAATGCCCAACGTACATACAACTTCTCTTATGGTTCAGGAGTGTATTTAGAATCCCAGTAAGAACCACGACAGGGCAGCTGTGTCTCAGGCAATCCAGATATTCCTAGCATTGCTTCCCTTTGTGGAGATGGGTGGACTCACACTGAACAGTTAGGACTACGAGCTTTGATCTTACCACAGCTGAGAGGACCCAATGTTCCCGTACAGAGACAAGTACTGCCGGGTGGAAACCACGCTGATGCTGTGCTTGGTACCACGCAGCGCAGCACTTACGGTTAACTGCTGTCTGGCTGCCTCTGCTATTTCCAGAGCTGCTGTCACCCACTTTTATGTCCTTTCTGTGGGAGGGGTGCATCTTCAGCTAAGACTGAAGTCTGGTTCCGCAGCCCAAGAGGCAACTGTCTAGTAGCCCGGGGCGGGTCAGCAGCTGCAAGGCCACCCACGCTCGGACACGGCTCTCAGCTGTCTCTCCGCTCAGAGCCACAGTGGTCTTGACCCCATACAAATCTGGTGTTCTAGCTTTGATGTTTATGAACAGCCTGCATTAAAAATACAGGATAATGACTCAGGGGTTAGAGAAACTGTTATTTATACAAATGTGGTTAGCACCTCATCATTTTAAACACTGCTAATAACACTCATTGTGCTCTTTGTTTTCTATTGTTTCCCTCCAAACCTCCAACCTGCATTTGCTCTGGCATTGTGTCGTGTCTACTGGACTAGAATCAAACTCTTACACAACTACAGGGTCCTGCATCTAAAGGCACTTCCTCCTGAAACCTCCTACACAAACAGGGAGCCAACTCCAAAACACAGGAACTCGCTGCTTGGATGGGGTCTGGCACTGGGGCCGAGGCAGTGCTCAATACGTTCTTTGGGTGCTTCATAAACCTGTGTTTCGGAGCAGAGATAGGATCTAAACTTTGGTGTGTTATTTCTAAGGACATCAAATGGTAATGCTGAAAGTCAAATGTTATTCGCTATTAAGCGTAGCCTAACATTTGAGGACAACTGTTACTCAGGATGCACAGTCTGATTACAAAGAAATTTCTTTTTCAAAATATAGAGTCAAGAAATAGAGGAACGATTCAATCAGTAAAATTATACCGGTATATGTATATGCCTAATAAATTGCATCCATAAAGTTTATGGGAAAAGCTCAGGAAATATTTATGACTCCTAAACTCAGTTATTTTATCAGACTAATCATATGCTCAGTAACTTTACTCTCTTCATAGTTGGGATAGACCTACCAACCACAGGCAGCTTAAAAAAAAAAAAAGTCAATCCAGTAAAATTTTAAATAATGAAGTTAAGCAACATTAAAGATTTGGTTCCTCCACATCCCTGCATGTGAAATGCTAACAGGCACCTACTGGTCAGTGGTGATACACAGGATTTTTAGCAGTAAGTCGTATGGGACGGCACTGACTAGGATTGTAAGGAATTACGCCCACACCACTAGTATACCTCCCTGCTTACCTCACTCAGGTAAAAACCAAAGAGCATTCAACGGAAAGCTAAGGATGTGCTCTGGCTGCGGAGGGAGAGGACGGAGAGGGACGTCAGACATGACACTCCCCACAAAGTAAAATAAAATTTAAAAAGGGTCACCACTAGATCAAGAACCCTAAATTCAACTCCCTAAATTACGTTTAGTAGACTAGATTAAAACTATTAACGTGGTTCTCTAAGCTAGGAAACAGTCTATAAAGAATCTAGATCTAAGTTCAGGTAGAGGATGTCCTCCGTCTACAATTCTGATTAGATTCATTACAACTCAGCATTTTGCGAAAACACCGGACACATTTCTCACCCACTTCCAACAGCATCCTCCTTCTTGATCGCGTTAATCAAGCGCGGAGAGGCCCACCTGGTGAGACCCTGCTCCGGCCCCTCTGCTGCTGCGGCCCTCCGCAGGGCTCACCCACCCTGCCGGCCAAACGCAGACTCCTGTTTTCGTGGAGGAGGAATGAGAGAGCTTTCTGTGGGCACCGAGGAGTTCTCGCTCCAGCTTCCAAAATTTCTTTCCACTGCCAATTCACCTCAAATAGTCTTCATACTCATCACACCTGCGGGGCTTGAAGCCTCCCACGCCCCTCACCGACAGGCGTCGCGGAGAGGCAGTGGTACGTACGGATGCGAGCAGATGAGTCTGAGAGCGCAGAGCTGGGTGAGTTCTGCATCTGTAACTGGGAATAGGAGCCGCTAACACACAGCCCGATCAATTCTAATATCCACGGATAGCTCTAGACAAGTGTGCTTACCCCAGGCCCTTATAAATATTCCACCTGCCCTCCATTAGAGGAGCTTTGTAGGTTATCTTTCAGTGAGGAAATTTTAAAGTCCTAGTAGATAGCTGATTTATTCCATTACAATTATTTAACTAAACTCAACATAATTTAAATCGTACAGTGAATACTTACTACAGGAATTTAATAAGAAGGAGTTTCAACTTTTTCCTCTTTGTAGAAGTAAAATAATTCCCTCTTTGATATAAATAAAACAAATAACTCAAGAGAGCTCCCAGAATGCACTCTCAATCCGGCCTACCTAAATGTCTAAGCTTGGATTCTATTAAGACAGTGGTGCTCTGCAGCCATTAAAAGAGTCTGAAAAAATAAAAATTCCTTTTTGTTTCACTTAGGAAATGTATTTAGCAATAAAAATCTGTATTATAGATTTATATAAAGTTATACACATTAACATATTAACCTATACAAATAAGCACATATATCAATAACAATCTGTAACAGAGATATAAGCACATACATGGGAGGAGGAAAAGCCAGCCAAAGGATGCAAAGTACTAGCTCACCTGACCCACCATCCTTTTCACAGGAACTCTACACTCCCTGAAGATTACGATTCGGGAGTTTTCTCAAACCTTATAATTAATTCCCTTAGCTGTCTGGGAACCAGGTTTTTATTTTCTGTATCTCTGTTTTCTGTTCACACTTCAGCCTCGCACCTTCTCTGCTATTATGCCTCACTGGGGCATCTGCTGGCATATATAAACTGTGATCTGATGGCTCTGTAAACTATGAAAGATATCCACACGTTTGAAACACACTGGTTAGAAGGTGATACGAGGTTTCCCAGAACTTAAACATCTCTTTCTTCACACATCTGTTGTAAAAGATCCAAAATATTCTGAAGAACTCGGACTTGCCCTCAGGTAAGTCTTCTAGAGCTTCTTAATGAGAAACTGTCGGCTTCCAGTCCTGAAGGTGAGCCTCTGAACAATTCCATCCAAACAGTTTTAAAGGTGGATTCTAGAATCAGTAATTTTTCAGCAAGGAAGAACTCTAGGTACTCTGAAAATAAAGTCACTACTCCAATTCCAGGATGAAGTATTAAACTACAATGATGATTCTAAGTTATTTTCAGTCTTAAATAAGTATTACCCTTGACTTGCAAATTCCAATGCTTAAAACCAATAAGTGATGCTAAATTAAGCTTGATATTGAGAACATTCATCCCAGCCACCCAAATTTCTAGACAACAGGATAAGGAAATAATACATTTATGTTGTTGACTGTTTTTTTCAATACTTTTCAAAATGATGTAGCTTCTTTACTATTACATTAATCTAAATAGTTGCCATAAATAGTACACTAATGTTATTTTTAGATAAATGAATGGGAAGAGAAATGGGATACAATTTCTCTTTTTTCTCCTTATAGAACTGAAAGTCAATGCAGAAAAAAAACAGACACAGGAGTTCTTTATGAGACTGATGTCAGAAGAATATAAATGTTTTATGTATTTAGGATAGAGGTAATAGAAGTAAACAATTTGAAACATTCATCCAAAGATACATACTTAGTTTCTGAACCAATATGTTCATCTTTAGAGTCACATACTTTTTTGCTTAAATATTTCTGTAGTCAAGATGGACAACTATTAATAGATAGATGGCATCTCAACTATCTGGCAAAAATTCATAGCCTTCTAACACCAATGGTAACTGTCACCCTTTCTATGAGAGATCCAATTGGCAATCCAATTTTATCTTGGAATAAAATCATTTCCGAAAGAAGAATATCTGCAAATATTCTCTTCCTTACTTTCAATTTGAAAATCTTTTTCAGTTTTCCTAATTCAAATGAAGGACTATAAAATACAAATATGTTTTTCAAAACTACTTTTTAGTAAACAAGAAGTTATGTACTCATTTTTAACAATGAAGGTCTAAAATTCTGCAAAACTATAATATGATTCAAGGACAGTATCTGTGTTAACTTATATTGAAATGTTTACCTATATGAAGTTGTATCAGGATATTTAACATGGTAATGCAGTCCCGCACTACTGAGGAATATTTGTTCTCATTTATTTATATTAAAATGCCAAAATGGTGGTTCTGTAATTTAATAAGACACTAATGTTCAAGAGTTAGGATAAATAGAAAAATGCATTTCAAACTTTGCTGTTTTAACCACTTGATATCTTGAGTATACACTGTCCTTTCTAATAACAAATACCAGGCTATGGACTAATTTCACTTTAGTCATATACTAATTATGACACTCAAATGGGCTGGACAATGTAAACATGTCTGCTCCAGAGCATCGTTCTGGGGGAAGGATTCTTTTTCAGCATGTAACAGATGTAAGAACTCCAACTGGGTGGTGGGAGGGAGGGACGAGGAAAGGGATGGAGCTTTTTCAGGCAGGAACGGATTCCATTTACGGATTGATTCATTCCTGTACCAGTTCGGGCAGTTTCCCAGGTATTTTGGGATGATATTTAATACCAAGTAGTCTCAGTTCTCTTCTCCTTTTAACCACTAAATACTGAAGGACATCCAGTTTAATAACTTTTAAAGCAGCAGTATGAAAGCAAGCCTCAAATTGCGTGCACTATCTGATACAGATTACTTGTTTCCCTGGTTGGACCACCCAAAAAGAGAATTTAAGCAAAGTCAATTATTTCAGGGCAAAAAAGAGTCTAAAATTCTGTTTCTCAATATAACAATAACCTAACACTTAAAATAAACCATTAGTCATTATATTACTTGTGCAGTATAAAAAGGAGGTAATATCCTAAATCAGGTTTACCAGTTAATCAAAAATTAAAATCAACACCCAAAGTCAGAAATACTATAAATTAAAATTTGACTACATAGGTTTTTCTCCAGTTTACTAAACCAACCAACCAAACAAAATGATACCATTTCAACAAATTACAGACACATCAATCTATGAGTTGGGAGGCAGAAAAATATTAACTTCAAAGAGTTCATTTTAATCATGACGGGTACTGCATGTCTTGGAACATCAGTGATACTAATTCCACACTGATGATCAATCAGTATGTGTAAACATGCCATGACCCTAGCAAAACTTCTTGTCCGGCAGAAATATTTCTTTTTACAAACGTCTGGAGTAAAAACACAACTGTACAAGGGTTGAAAACACACTACTTTGAGAAAGAGGGAATGTCAGCGCTGCTCCCTGCAATTCCCCCGCCTCAGGGGACGAAGCACGCGTGGCCACGCACCGCTTCAAGTGTCAGAGACACTGGCAGGCCCTGCGCAGCTGTCATCGGGACCGTCGCTCTCCTTGTCCCAGTCCTTCATGGATGCCCCCATCATGAAATCATCGCGCAGAACGCTCCACCCTGGGCCCGCTTCTGATTTCACTTCAATCTGAGGAAATGACAGAATCAACAAATGCATTCAGAGATCAACTTAATCATAAGGAAATAAAGTCCAAGCTACAAAACAAGCATTTCAGCACTTCATTTTTAAGAGATAGGTAAAACCAACACCACTTCTAAACTGACTTCATTTTTACTCTATGAGTAGATATGTTCAAATGTATAATAAAGGATTATACATTAATAAAGTATTTTATCAACCTCATAAACCTCATGAACTCCAAACAATTAAAGAAGTATAGTAAAATCTAGGTCTGTAAGTCTTTTGGCAACCAAAACAAACTTACAGTACTATTTAACCTCCAATGATAATTTAGTAGGAAGTTCTTGATAACCTATTTCGATATAGACAGAAATTTAACAAACACTTTTAACCCAAAGTGAAGGAGAGAAAAGGAAATCCACCCTGGTACTGTGCTGGGCTTTTACAGATGCTAACTAATTTAATTAACATTTTATCAAAGATCTGAGCCAAACCTTCTTCAGAGCTTATTATGTCACCCCCAATCACGTGATGAAAGACTAATGACATGCTAAGATCATAAATGGCTGAAGCAGACAATAACACAATAGGCAGTCAAGTTACTTCCTTCACCTAAAACAGCCCAGGACACACAGGGTTCCATTTCATGGTACAACAGTGCCACCCTGTGGTATTAAGAAATGCAATCTATGCAGAATTAAATTGTAAGACTTCCCATTCGGCCCACAAATACTTACTGAGAACAGGAGCCCAAACACTGCTCTTAGTGTCAGAAACACAGTGGCAAGCAGAACAAAGATCCTGCCTCCACAGACCTAACAGTGTGTGCGTATCTACTGATTCCATTTATAAAAATACACAATTCTGGAAAGTTCTAGGTGTGAAAGAATGTAAGTACCCTTAACATTCGGCTTGAAAAGTTATCTTTATTAACATGGCTATTAGCCATGTAGAAAATAATTTAAAGAAAAATGTATTAGAGATATTTGCTAGGCTGCAAGAGATTGCTAACCTAAATCTAACTGCTGAAGCTATCTTTTATTTAAAATGGTACAGCCCTAAAACACATCATATTAAAAATGTTTTTTAAAAGGACACTATTACAACCAGGAAAAAAAATATCTATTGCCTGACTCCTGTGTGCTTCAGGTCAAAGATCCAAGCAGAGTCCTCTGCCTAAATATGACCTAGAGACTGGAGAGCACACAAATTTAAGAAAAGATTTCAGAATTGGTATGTCGAATACCAATACACTTTGTCCTCTGATTTAACCAATATAAAGAAATAAAAGGCAGGCGCACTATTTGAAAATCAACAAACAATTCTAATGCTTCGCAAGCCAAGCGACAGGAGACAATACAGGAGGAAAGTCGTTCAGAACCCTCCTGTCCATCCCCACTATGGGACTGAGCTGTCCGGCGGGGAAGGAGACCCCTTGCTAACTCATGTTTTGTCAGTCTCCTCGCCTTGAATAAAAGAAATGGGTGTCTCCAATAAACAGAGCCACTTAGACATGAGCAAGAATCACAACTCTTCCTCGGCGGACGGACACTTGAAAGCTTTAGATTCTGGGACGTGTGTGGCCACAGCCTGGGTACTACTGACTACCATGGTCGGGCAGCGCAGCCCCACCTGCTCACTGCGGTACACGCAGGTCTCCAGCCTGGAGCCAGAAAAACCTCTGGGCAACAGCAGAACAGGGAAAGAAAAGAACACAGACAACACTTCAAACTTATAGTTGGGAAATAAAGAAGTGCAGACCGAAGGGGGGGCTCATTACAATGGTGAGCCTGAGCCCCTTGTGTCCAAGGCAATTATGTAGCCACGTAGGTAGCCACTGAGATCAGTAACTGCCAAAGTTCAAAGCTCCTCTCAATTATCCAATTTGAAAGGCAGAAGCTCAGCAGGGCTTTACAGTGGGATCTAGGCGATCTTGTTTTTAAGGTCATCAATACTATCTATGACCAGTGACCCTTAAAATGTGGCCCCTAGTCTAACAGTACCACTTGGAAACGTGTTAGAAATTAGAAATCTGAAATCCATTCCAGCCCTACCGTGTCCGACACTCCCCAGCCCCGCTGCACCGCCTATAAAAGGACACGTGTCCCAGTGACAGCACCTGTTCACTGCCGTGAGACCAAGGCACTGCAGGGCAACGGAGGAAGGGTTTTGGAAAACCCCGGCAGTATGGAAACCCAGTGCTGGGCTGTATGCCTTCGGAGTGCTCATGCTCAGGCTATCATCAGACAGCGGGCTTTTCATGCTGGGAAGCACCAGTGTGGAGAAAAAGCGGACAACAGAAAATGTAGTACAAACAAGTATGGGTTGACATTAAAAACAGACACTATAACATCTGTCAACAGGACAGTTCAAGAAAGAAACTTGGTTTTAAAGGCAAAAGAACAGCCCTTTAATTTTTAATTTCCACAACTGCTGAAGAAATATGTAGCAAGAAAGGGGCAGACAGGGCCAGGGATTTAGCTCAGAGGTGCCACCGACTGCCTGGCAAGCATAAGGTCCCGAGTTCGGTTCCGGTACCAAAGGGGTGGTGGGGAGTCAGCTTTGTGGATGTGGGAGTTTGAACAAAAACAACTAGTGTCCCTCAGCTGCAGTTCTCGCTAGAAACACAAGGAAGTGCTCCTTTTAAAGGTCTCACACGCAAGGCCTAGAGGAGAGGAAACAACAGCATCTGGAAGGGAAGGGAGGGCCCGGAGAAGCCACAGCACAGGGGGCGGCCGCGTCCTCACAGTGCCGGGGGTGATGCAGCTGAAGCAGACGGGCCCGACAAATGCAGGTAAGGGGAGACCTCAGCAGGCAGCCGACCTATGCACCCCACCTTCTGCAAAAGAAATGGGCGCCCTGGAGCGCAGGCTGAGTGCGGGGCACCACCATCGAAGCGCCGCGATCCGAGAAGGCAGGCCATCCATCGGGAGACCCCTGGGCGGGACCCTGCACAGCCAGGGCGGGCACAGGGGTTCAGTCAGGACCAAGGCCGCGCCCAGAGGACCCTGGGCTCCTCACAGGCTGGCAGGGAGAGCGCTCGCTTCCAGGTTAGCAACGCTAGAGAAAACCTGACCAATCGCTAATACAACTCCCAGCCATAGAACCCCGTAGGGAAGTTCAGGGGCAACAGCCACACGTTCAAATCTGCTAACTTTATTTTTAGGGCTATTGGTTCTAATCACAAGCAAACAAGGATTGGCAGAAAGAAGCTAGTAACAATAAACCCCACAAAACCAGAAAATGTACTTGTAGGAAAAAGAAATGATTCAAAGAGAAAACAATAGAGGGGAAACTCATTACTATTCTCAAAGATTTGGTACAGTACATTGCATTCACAAAAGGTCAGTTCCTATTTTAAAAGAAGCACTAAGAGAATAACACAAAACCAGAAATTACAAACACCATAGTAGAAATTAAAAACCTGACACAAAGGTGATTCAATCAGACCTGTGTAAGAAAGGAAAAGAGGTTGTTCCGGTTTGGATCTCAAACGTGCCCCCAGATCTTGTGTGTTCAGGGCAGGGCTTCTGGAGCACACTGGCCACCCAGTGAGTCTGTAGCTGACACGGCCCCGGTGGGTCCTGACCACCCTGCAGAGCGCAGGTCTCTCCTGCTCTGTCCACTTCCTGCGTGTGAGGTTCCACTTCCTGCGTGTGAGGTTGAGTTTTCCTCCACCATGACCTTCCAACCTGGGAACCTGCAGACCACCGACTGAATCTTCACTTCTCTTAAGCTGTGGGTATCAGATGCTGTCACAGGAAAGTGACTAATGCAGAGATGAAACACAGACGAGGGAGATAACTGGAGAACCAGTTGAGAAGGTTGAATATATAAATAACAGGAATTCTACAGCAGAGCCAAGATGGATGGGAGGAAGTTTATGAAGGAATGAATGAAGAAAATTTCCCCAAATGAAGGACAACACATTTCCAGGTTACAAAGGACCCAAATGAGTGCCCAAACACAAAACAAAAGCAGGCCAAGGACTTCACTGTAAAATTTCTAGACAATGAAAACTAAAAGAATGAGCAATAACCTCCCACGAAGAAAACAAACAAGTCATATATACACAAAGGATCAAGAATCAGTCCGATTTTCCAATAGTAGCCCTAACAGAAGAAACCAAGAAGCAAATACTTTCAAAAAAGGTAATTTCCTATGTAAAACTCAAGAACTCGTGACATTATTAATCAAGTGTAAAGGACAGAACCAGGCTATCTTCAGACACAGGAGCTCCCCAGAAGTTTAGGCCCCGTGCAGCCCTTCTCAGGAAAGCTGCTGAGGGTGTCCTCCACGAAGAGACCGAGCAAGCCCAAAGAGAACGACACAGGGCTGAAAAGTAGGAGATGCAACACAGAAAAGAGAAGAGAACTCGAGGACCAGGGCGAGCGGAGGGACAGCCCGAAGCTGTGTCTGCCATCACACCCGGTCCAACTGGGCAAAGCCCAGGGACACGCAGGGCCCAAAAGCGGGAGTGTGGAGAAAAGAGGAAGACACAAGAATCAGGAAACAGGGTGATCAGTCAGGAGAGAGGGCAAAGAGCTTAGGGATGGAAATCCCCAGGTCAATCTATGGTATAACCTAAGAAAGCAATCAACCCAGACAGGAGAAAAGAGCTCTGCGGAAATAATGTCCCAGAGAAAACAATTCTAATATATCAATTTGATTTTTGAAAAACTAAATATACTATGGAAAAATTAAATGTGCAAATCAAGCAACCATTACCTTTCAGAAAAAATAAAATAGAAACATGTGTAGAATGTTACAACACTCAGCTGTAAATAAGACTTGGGTAAGTATACATGTGAATATCGATTTAACAAATAACTGTAAACTAACTATATTGAGAGGGCAAGGAAGAAGAAACAGACTGTATAAGAATCAAATCTTTGTCTACCATAACAAAAAGCCGAGAAATAAGTGGAATTGCTGACTCCTAAATTATGGCCACATATATATTAGTTTGGAAGAAAAAAAGAGTCCTGGCCAGATCACAGTTATCA